AGACCTTGGTGTGGACGTGCGGACGGCTTCATCATGGCAGACTAGGATTTATGGCTGCTGTCCAAATAGTAGATAAGGGGCTCTGCAGCTGCCCAGACCTGAAGGTCACTCTAAGGAGTGGTAGCTGCCCCAGAGGAGTGCCATCCCAAGGTAAAGCGGGGCGGGGGGGGGGTGGAGGCTGATTATTTACTGCCTGAACTTAATGGGCCTAGTGTTGCCTAGGAAGGGAGCATGCCAGACTATGGAAGAGGGAAGGAGCATGCTAAGCTATGGGAAGGGAGCTCATTGGGTTAACAGTCACTCTTCCATCATTCTCCCCCATGGCTCCCCACCCAATCCTTCCCCCCAATTTTCTTAGCTTCAAAGGACCGTAGGACATGAACTGAATGTTATGACTGCTTCCCTCCCCCTTAACATATTTTGTGATGTTTATTTGGGAAAAATGCCATGGGAGCTTTTCACTATAGTCTATTTGTATTTTTAATTAATATTCTTTATCTCAGTATAATAACTCCTTTTTCTTTAGTCTTTGTTCTTATAGCTTCAGCTTCCCACTAAACATTTCTAACATTTCTAGAAATCAGCACTCCACTATCCAAAACAATCACGTGGCCTTCCCCTAAACAACTTAGATCCTGATGTCCTGATTTCTGCTAGTAGCATGGTCTTTCATCCACACAACTATTCAATCATTTGTCATAGATGTCTTTCCTTCTTAACTCTTGGCACAGTCATCCCCAAATGTGAATATGTTCCCATGCAATTAGGTGAAGAAGCCAGGACATGAAGTTTCATCCTAAGGAAAGCCCATTTTTGCACCTCTTATCTATACAAAATACCTAGTGAATATCTGATTAATATGAGTTAAAGAGGCTATTTCTATTCTGTTCTTGTCTTCCAATCCAATTTTATTTCATATATATATAAATTTGAATATTTTTGTCTACCCACCAATCTCTTAGAATATTTCCTAAATACACTTGGAATTCATTCCCAGACTAGACCATTCTTGGTAAGCTTTTGCCCACAAATTTCACCACAGCTTTTCTTCCTTCCCCTCACCCATCACAATCTCATCTTTCATTCAATTCTGACTTTTAAGCCTTTCAATTCAGTAGCTAATTTTCCCCTAAACTTTTCATTTTTAGATATGTCCCTTCTCTTCCGTTTCAAGTGCCTATATTTCCTGATTCTTGAAGTTAGGAACCATGACTTTCATTGCTTTTGCATTCATCTCCATAGTGCTTTCCTTGCACAATGCTAAGAGACACTTAAGAATTTAAGAAAATCTACTGATATCAAACAATTGCTTTCTTTGCCTTGAGGTGTTTATCAGTCTGGAAGGAAAAATGTCATCTCTAACCTCAACTCTTCTCCATGTATTTATGGACTGTGTTCCAGCCACAGAATGAAAATCAGTCTAGCATAGGTCTGGTTATATAATTTGGAAGCCTTCTCTGCTGGGCAGTCCATGGAGTTAAAACCCATGCCAGCAGGATTACAGTGGTTTTCAACTAACTCTCCCTTGAGGAAGGGGAAGGCAGGCAAAACGCCTCAGGCACTGAGGGAAGAAATGGTGTGAGTTCCATTATGCAAGAAGAGGACCTCATTTTTTCCCTCTCACTGAAAACCTTGCTATGAAGCTGGAGCCAAACAAGGAACAAATACTATAAGAAATTTAAAGAAGGATTTTCCTTAGGAAAGTATTGCAAGCTTAAGTACAAAATTGCTAAGGTATAATTTAATAGATTCTTCTGAAGAAATGCTTAACTCTACTTAAATTATAAGTAGACCTCTGATGACTTTAGTTTGAATGGATGCTTGTACCTCAGGGCTCATTTATGTGCATGTATATATAAATATATATGTATATGTATATATGTGTATATATATTTGCATATATATGTATTAGATGAGTTTGGGTATTTGGGCACATAGGGTTTGGGGAAAGGGATTTCTTCCTCACATTAGACACACCATTGATACATTATGTCAAAATACCAAATTTGGTGTGGCATCATGCCATCCTTCCTTGAGGACATTTTAAATCAAAATGTAATAAAGGGAAATTTTTCTGCCATCTAGAAGCTCCCATGTGGAACTCTACAGAGCTGATGTGGGCAGTGTATAAATCCAATCTACCAAATGTCAGACTCCAACAACTCTGGAGTCACATGATAACATTAGAGTGTTCTCCAGGAGAGTATACAGAAGGCTTCTTTCTAAAATCATATCCTTGGAGCAAACACCCACGGAAGGGAAAAGAGAGATTAGGTTCTAGATCAGCAGTTAGTTCCTACTGAATCCAACCATATTTGATCATCTCTTCTGGTTCACATTCCAAATTAGAATAGTAGAGATCAATGGATGAGATGACACAGGTCAAGATGCATGATACCCATGACGTGACTCATTAAATTGAAATCTCTTGGTACAACTACTTAAAGATAATTTTGAAAATTTTTAAGAATTGTATAGTCCAGTCCTTACGCAACACGTCCGGTGGCACCGAACTTCTCTCATCTCCCATGGGGAAGAGTGGCAATATTAGCTACCTCTTTTTCTGCTATGGGAGGATGGTTAATTTTGCTTTGAGATTCCAGTTTGCTTGTTTTTGTTTTTGTTTTTTTGAGATAGAATGTGTTCGACAGAGCTCTGCCTGCTATATTTCCATTAGAAATTGTAAACCAAGCTGTGTGGATCACATCTGTAATCCCAGCTATTCTAGACTTTGGGAAGCAAAGATCTGGAAGATTACACTCTGAGGTTAACTCAGGCAAGTGTTCACTCAATGGAAAAAAAAAATAATTAAAGGCCCAAAGAGGACTAGGGACTGGCAATTGGAAGATTGCTTATCTAAGCAAGTGTGAGGTCCATGGTTCAAATGCCAATACTGTTTTGTTTTGTTTTTAAAGAAAAAGACACTTTAAATTCCTTACTTGGGAGAAATGGAGTTCACTTACAGTCAGTGTTCAAATGTTTCAGGACTGGAGCTGAGAGCATAACTCCATTTTAAGTGTGCTTACAGTCGTGTGCTTGGCTAATGTGGGCAAAGCCTTGTGTTTGATCCCAGCCACTGTGAAAGAAAGAAGGCACAAATGTTTGGGGATTGAAGAGGGGTCAACTTCACAAGTAAATTGTGAAGCCATTTGTCACTTATTTATGGTGTCTCCCAGGGCTCTCTGAAATGTCCAAAGAGGTGATTTCTAAACCACAGACAGCACTCTTCTGAGAAATGAAAACTTACTTTTACTTTTACTCTGTAGAGAAGAATAAAAGAGACTGTGAGTTTGGGAGTTCACTGATATCAAGATAGCATATGCCAGTGGAAGCTTTTTCCCTCACATATGACGGGGAATGGCTAATAAAATTAATAGTGTATACAATCCAGTCCTTCATGTGTTCTCCATTCAGAAAATGAAAATATGTGAAGGGAAATATCTGGATATCAACAGCATGGCATTTCCAGCCTGTAAAATGCTTGGTTTTAGCCTTTTTTTAATGCATTTATGCCTGAGGCTTCAAACTGTGATTACATAGCCTGTAAACCCTAGGAGTAAAGGACACAGGGCGGAGCAGTTCACTGATTCACATGGCAAAGTAGATGAGAGTGACGCAAGGCCCTTAGTCCACAGCCTCCCAGGTTAAGAATTAAAAACCTGGATGTTGTAATAACTGCAACTGATGTCTGTAAAGTTATGTTTGCAGACAGCTGTGTTCCTTAGCCTCATGGGTGTGCACATATGTCTGGAGATAGCAGAAGATATTCACTGTCATCTCTTCAGTACTAATATTTCCAGAACCTAAAATGACTTAGAACAAAAAAAGACTGAGGGCTTGTCCACTATCTAAAAGTAAAAGCATAGAACACTAGACGTTTTATACCTATTCATAATGACATTGTGCCAGGGCATGCTATAGACTCATGAAAACAAGCACTCCTGCTCAATGTTTCAGCAAGAAGGGCTATTTCATTATTGTAATAATAATACTAATATTTTTTAAAAGGCCATTCTGCATGTGGTGATGTATGGCTGTCTCTTGTGAATAATGCACCTTTATGGAAATATAACAGCTTAGCTTAAAAGAGTTGGCCTTGGTGATCAGATAACAGCAACAGCTCTATAAAAGTCAATGTGTTGGATTCATTTCCAACCAGCCCAAACTTGTCTCTAGAGAATCCTGAATGTGTAGGCACCATGGGCTTTTTGTGTGTTTTTTGTTTTTCCTAGAGAAGCTTCTTTCCTCCAGATAAAGATACGTGCTAACTGAGGCTTGACAATCAACTTCCTGGTCCTTTAGACTGAACAACTCAGGTGTAGCCACACTTGGAATTCAAAATAGCTAGCAAGGCCAGAACTCATCCCAGCTGGAGTCTGAGGGGTTCACATTCCTGAGTCATTCAAAGCCCATAGGCCTCATAAAGTCAAAACCTGCTGAGGCTCTGGGATGTTTTCTTTTCGTTTGCCTCTCACCTTCCTTCTGCCTCCTTTCTAGTTACTCCTCCTTGAGAAAGTTCATTAATGCAGTGTTTCCAGTGTTAATTGAGCTCATTTGATCCCAAGGAAATGCTATTGCGGTAGATTGCTTTGTTTTTTTTCCTTTTAAGGCCTGTCCAGCCTGCAGCCCTATAATTGGTGATCCTAATGGGTAGTGGGTCCCCCCCCCCTATTTCTGGATCAAATTAAACTGAAACTCACTGTCCCTGTTACTGAAGTTGTGGGAGGGGGTGGGAAGCATTTGCTAGAAGGTAATTCTGGAGGTGTCAGACAGGAAGTGAACATCTCTAGTGTTCATGCTATTTCCTGAGGTGAGCCCCCTATGGGAAGTAGAATTTATTACAACCTGCTCTTGGCCTTCATGAAACTCGGGAGCCATGAAAGACTTCCTAGGATACCTCCTCTAACTGAGACATCAGCACTCACAGTTTATTCTTTCATGGCAGCCATCTGCTTTTCATTGCTTGGCTTCATCTTGCTCTTTTTTCTGATTGCAGGTCCCACAGGTATGGATCTTTGGCAGCTGCTGTTGACCTTGGCACTGGCAGGCTCCAGCGATGCTTTTTCTGGGAGTGAGGGTGAGTTCTGCTTTCCCAGTCCCAACCCTAGTGTTACAAAACAACCCAAAACTTTGTCAAATCCGAATTCTTTGGGCAATTTAGTTACAAATTAAAGTTTTAGGTATCAACTAACAGAAAATGTGTCTTAGCTGTAGTATCATAAACCAACAGGACTTCTCTGCATAGGTTTCACAAAGAATACAGTAGTGAGCTTTGGTATCTGATATTTTCATATTGTCAAGAAATGCTTCAGAGCATGCTAAGGGCTTTTATATCGAAGGCAGGCCTGGTGTCTGGTCCTCAGACTCTGGAAGAGGTATTGAAATAGTACTGAAGAGTTATTAAGCTACTGATCACCCAGCTCAACTATGGCTAAGGATATCATCCTCTCTTCCACAGCTCAGAATTCAGCCATCTTAATCATATTCTCCTAGAGAGGAAATTGCAGGTTTCAAATGCATTTCACTTCTCACTCTCTGTGTGATTATCGTTTGCCTGAGTTTGAGAGGATAGACACCTGAAATAGTTGAATGATATACCCAGAAGTCATGAATTTCCTTGGCCATCTATAATTTTCCCTTCTTTTTTATACCTTCCCTCTTGTAGACAAGTCTCAACACTTTCAAACCTACATTTTTCATAGTAGACATAATAGAAACCAGGAAGAGTAATGAAAGCAAAAAAGAAAAAAAAAGCATTTTTCTCTCTGAAAGAAAACTGTGCTTCTTAAGAAGTAGGCTACTTTTTCAAAGATCATTTTGAGGTTTGATTATTTACATTACTTGAGCTTTACCTGAGGACAGGAACAACACTGAACTCTGATGTTGCTTTAAGAGTAGCTAACTTCCTTACTCAACACCTCACTCATGTTGGAAAACACAGTTTAACAGCAGACTTAGCACCTTCAGATGTCCTCCCTGACCTTGGAGCCAAAAATAAATACACAGCAGAGAGCTGCTAAGGGTGACCAGAGTAACTTAGAAAATGCAAAGGGTAAAATATGCTATTCTAGCTCTTAAAGCAATTCAAAAATATTTATAGAAAAGAAGTCATAATTGTTTGAAATATTTTTGGGTCTCTCTAGTGTAATAATGTCAACACTATGCAAGTCATATGTGGAGAAAAAGGAGGCTTCGTTTCAACAGCCTTTCTCATGGCTGGTTTTAGACTCTGGTTCTGAGCCAAAGAATTACAGCTCAGATCCTCTGCTCTTCCAAACTCATGGTGGTTTAATCTCTCCTTTCTTCACTAAGGTGACTTTCTCTCTATAGGGCGAGGGTTGAGGGTTTTTTTTAAACCTGTGAGGGAAAAAGTATGGTGTAAGACTAAAGAAATTTCAAAAGAAATTCTTAAAAAAATAGTTTAAAAGCTCAAATGATATCTTCGCTCTAGAGAACTTGCAGATAGCATCCATTTCAGCTGCTTCCACATTTTAGTAAAATAAAGCTTAAAGAAAAATTATTAATTAGTTTTGAAAACTACATGTTCGTGTGCGCATTTATGGTAGACAGCACGTTATAAAGCACATGTATAGTACAATGTATTTGTATTATACAAAACATTGTGTATGATATTCTATGCAATGTATTTGTACTCTGCTAAACGTTGTATAGTACAATGGTCACAATCATGGCGCTAATTACCATATTGGTCTTCTTAATTGTTATCTATCCCTTACCTTCCACCCACTAAGAGAAGCTTGGCAGAAATCTTGAATACAATAACTACTTTTAACTATGTTCTTCATGCTGTACAGTAGACCACTGGTTTTATTTGTTTTACATATTTCCTGCTATGTGTACCCTTTGGTGTGTAATCTTCCCATGTCTTTCCCCTTACTTTAACCTGGAACTCAGTATTATCTATCTCTTCTTTCTGTTTTTTTAAAGATTCTAAATATAAACGAGATCATGTAATATTCTTCTAAGTTCACTTAGCCCAATGTCCTTTAGGTCCATCTATATTATGACAATCACTAAGATTTCTTACCTTAAGCTGAATAGGGCTCCATTTTATATGTGTACAATACATACACACTTTGGAATATGTACATGTGTATGTGGACATATATATATATATATATATATATATATATATAAATACCATTGTTTCTTTATTCATCTGTTGATGGTTGTTTCATATCGTGGCTGGTGTGAATAAGGATGAGTGAACACAGCAGTGCACATGGCTTAACTTCATTTCTCTCATCCTCTGGTCTTAATGTTAACCATTTGTTTTGCTTTGCTTTTTAATGATTTTGTGTTCGAGGGAAAGCAGAGTATAAGAACCTGCAATGGTTTATAGTAAAGATAAATCAAATATCCTACCAGTATTTAACATTTTCTTTTCTCTTTTTCTTGTTGAGCTAACCAAAATTTCACTGGAGTATATGAGTACTCTAGAATCCTCCCTTAAAATGGCCTGGAGATAAAGGATGGAGTAGCAGGTCCAGGTTAGCATGTGCATGCATGTGCATTTGCCAGTTTGGCCAAAGTCATCCCATGTCATGACATGCACCTCAGATGACATTCATGGGCCATGTGCTTTTTTTCCACCAGATCAGAAGCAACTCATTCATTCTGTTTTTATTTTCTCTCCTATTCTAAACAGGCTAAACAGGCAGGTGAAGAAGTGTGTGTGTGTGTGTGTGTGTGTGTGTGTGTGAGTGTGCGTGTGTGCATGTGTGTGTGTGTGTGTGTGTGTGTGTGTAAGTCCTGGGACTTGAATTGAGGACCTGGTCCCTGAGCTTAAGTCTAGCACTCTCCCACTTAAGCCACAGTTCCACTTCTGGTTTTTCGATGATTAATTGGAGATATGAATCTCATAGACTTTTCCTGCCTGGGCTGACTTTGAACTGCAATCCTCAGATCTTAGCCTCCTGAATAGGTAAGATTACAGGCTTGAGCCACCAGCACCCAGCCTAAGACTTTTAAAAATACATGCACTGTTTGAGTCTTATAAGTTACTTGTTGGTTCAGGTTGATCAGTGAAAAATGTAATGGCACTGGTGAACTGGTGAGTGACTGTGGAAGCATCACCTTTAGAAAAGTCACCCAAGAGCTGACAGAAGGTGACAGATCTATATGCCTAGGCAAGGTTGGCTCTTGGAATAGGTTTCCCCTCCCTTGAGGAGAGGAATAATTACAACTATACAGGGCTTGAAAGATTGTTTTTTCATTAACTATAATTGGCCTTACGAGATTTAATGAGAGCCAAACATGAAACAATGCCCTCATTGTATTAGCTAGTGTTATAATAGACATTTATCCCTCTGTCTCTCATCCTTAATATGAAGCACTATATCTGCCCCCTCAGTGTAAGTTACAGTCTCAGAAAGAATTGCTTATTGCAAAATCAAGAATGTTCAACAATGCCTCATTTTTACAGGGCTGTACCAGGTTGGCTTATCAAGTGGTTATATCAAATTTCTCCTCCTGGAATATGGTTAATGAGAAATAGGTTTAAAAACCTGATGGATATAAAATATGTCTCTTATAAAATATATCATATGCTTTACAATAAATCATTCTACAGCTGAGCACCCCATTGGTCCTTCACATTTGGCCATGAAGATCAATTTAGCTAAGACATGAATAGCTTCTAATAATAAATGAGAACTGTAGATATATAAAGTATAGATTGTACATGGAAGACAGCTCATAAAGATGCTCTGAACAAAATTAATCAAGGTATCCAGGTGCCAGTGGCTCATGCCTGTAAGCCTAGCTTCTCAGAAGGCTGAGATCTGAGGATCAAAGCCAGCCCAGGCAGGAAAGTCTATGAGACTCTTATCTCCAATAAACCACTAGAAAACCAGAAGGGGCACTGTGGCTCAAGCGGTAGAGCACTGACCTTGGGCTGAAGAAATGAGGGACAGCACCCAAGCCCAGAGTTCAAGCCCCACGACCGACCAAAATAAAAAACCATCGTGCAAGTCTCAAATTTTTAAGGCTAGTGCTCTACTACCACTTGAGCTATAATTCTTCTTCTGGCTTTATTGGTAATTTGTTGGAGATAAGAGTCTCGTGGACTTTCCTGCTAGGACTGGCTTTGAACTCTGATAATCAGATCTCAGGTAGGCTTACAGCCATGAACCATCAGCTCCTCAGCTACCATTCTCAATTCTTAAGAGTGTTATGTTTGTTAATAGCTTAATACACCTACTTTTTAATTTTTTGTATATATCTTTATTGTAAAGATACTGTACAGAGGGGTTACAGTTACATGAGTAAGGTAATGAGTACATTTCCTATTGAACATTGTTACCTCCTCCTTTGGTTTTCCCCTATCATACCTTCTCTCCCTACCTCCCCGACTCCTCCCCCCAAGTTGTAAAGTTCGTTTTCAACATAGTGTCTTGTACGTCTCATTGTTACAATGGGTCAACCTTATCCTTGTTTTAGCATTTTGTTATTTCCCTTCCCCTCTCCTGATTAGAAAAATGTATAAACAAGATGCAGGGTACCAGAATCAAATACAGTGAAAACAGGAGTTATACTATGAGGGAAGAACATACAAAAGAAACAAAAAAACCACATAGCACATTATAACTACATTAAAACCAACAGCAAGAAAGATAAAAACACTTGTGCCTCTATCTTGGGGTTCATTTCACTTAACATCATCTTATATGGTCATATGTACATAGTTTTGATCTTTTCTGCTTGTCCTAGACATATACTAGTTATTGCAAATAAGGCAAACCATGGGACCTATGCTTCTTTGGAACTGGCCTACTTCACTTAATATGATTTTTTTCCAAGTCTTTCCATTTCCTAGCAAATGGGGTGGTGTCATTCTTTCTGATGGAAGCATAGAATTCCAGTGTGTGTGTGTGTGTGTGTGTGTGTGTGTGTGTGTGTGTGTGTGTGCGCGTGTCACATTTTCTTGATCCATTCATCTACTGAGGGGCATCTGGGTTGGTTCCATATATTAGCTATGGTAAATAATACTGCAATAAACATAGTTGTGCTGGTAGCTTTAGTATAGCCTTGTTTGTGGAATTTTCAGTTTTTAAA